AAGTTCCTGTATACTCTAGTGGTTCCTTTGTGCTCTCGTTCACGTAGTTCCTATCCTATCTAACCGTTCGTTAGATTTTTTCCGTCCATTGGCCGCGTTAAACGGCGTCTGCACAGTCTATGAATGATTGAACTGAAATGAACTATGGAACTAAATGAATTACCAAGTTCCTCTTGTGTAGTGTCCACGGCATCTCTTCAACTGGTAATACCGAGCTAATGCAAGGACTTACAATTAATATAGCATTCCTTAAGCCTGTTCACCAGAATTCTCTGCAGAAATTGTTCAAGTGATCTATTCCGTAAATGGCAAGATCGGTACTAGGTCTTTTTTCGTTCTTATTCATCGTTCTAGTTCGATTTTGCTCTCGATTTCTATTCAATCATATTCTACCGATTCTGTCCGTCCATTGTCCGCTTTAAAGAGCGTCTGCACAGTCTATGAATGATTGAACTAAAATGAACTATGGAACTAAGTGAATTGTCCAACATTTCAATTAATTGACATTTGACACCTCAGGCTTTCTTGCACATGCAGCCACGCTTCACTTCGGTATCTCTGCCCTTGGTAAAACCGAACTGATGCAACGATCACTCCTCAACCAATCTTGTGACTTAGGCAACATTACAACACGGACACATTTCTAGCACTCAAAGGTCAGCCTGACCAATTCAACTGACGAAATCGAACCCCAATGTATACCGGTACACACTCCTAAGAACGTGGGATGGCAACCAGACTAACGCCAATTACGTTAGGTTTATTCCAGTCCAATTTTCCCTCAATATCCTGACGATTTTCTACTTCTAATCCGATAGATACTGTCCGCAACTCCTTGCCGCTGCTCCCTTCAATTCTTTACGATCAGTTATTATCCACGGGCATATTTTAGGTATTCGGGAAGTCAACCTGATTAATGGAACTAAGGAAATAGGACTCGATATATTCCAGTATAAAGTTCTAAGCACGTTGGAAGTCACCCAGATTAAAGCTAATGGCGAAAACGGACTCGGTTTATTTCAGTGCAACATTATATTCATATCCTGACGATTTTCTACTTCTAATCCGGCAGGTAATGTCCGCAACTTTTTACCGCTGCGAAAACGAATGCTCCCTTCAGTTCTTCCATAAACGAAGGAACTAATAAAGGCTCAGAATCTGCAAAGAATGTTCCCAATAAAAGCCCTTAAGCTCTTTTCCCTGGTACGCAACCTTTGTTGAAAATCCCGACTCCCAAACAGCTCGTCCTTGTAGGTCCTTTAAATAGCAAGGAATTACGATAAACCCGATATTTATTTACATTATTTAAGAAAAATAGACATATATATTTTTTGGTTATATAATAAGGTATTTTTTTGTTTATTAATAGAAAGTAAAAGATCAGGACGTCTTTTATTTTCTAGCAAATCCCATTTATATTTTCCATTAATAAAAATTATAGAAAATTTTCGAAGTTTTCTCATTGAATTTTGTCTCTTGAACTTCTTGGAGTTTTTTCAATAAAATTTTCAAATTTGCATTTGTCTCATTGAGCGTTGTGGACAACTGATTAACGTCCGATATTTGCAGTGAGTTCACAGCTGGCGAAATTGTGGTTTCATCCAAATCACTGGTCTCAGTTGTTTCAATTTTATTCGATTGAAAATACTGCCTATTGTTGTGCGGTTGTTGATACCAAGGATATGGCGGGAATGGGGGCTGTAATGTGGTTGTGGGTGGTCTATAGAATATAGACATCCACGGGAGTGGTGGAGGAATTGGAAGGATATTTATTCGATCCCATGTTCTTCTGCTTGATAGTGTGGTTGTAGATGATGAGCTTGAGGTATCGAGGTCAGATATTTCAGTTATTTCTTCGATTTCACTTGAATCATATCTGGTAGTTGACGATATGTCACCAATTTCACTTTCATCGGAAGTGGTTTCTAACGAGAGCAGCTCTTCCCCGCACTGACTTTGATTTGTGGCAATAGTTAACAACTGCGATAATTTCTCATTTATGGACAAGCCCAATTGTTCCACATCCTTCCTTATATCGGTCACATATTGTGGCATATCTCCTTCGCTTTGCCCCATTACCTTAAATTCCCCAGTGGCTGCTTGTCGCAATTTCTGCTCATACGATTCTCTTAGCAGTTTCATTTCTCGTTTCTTTTGAGCAACGCCCGGAATCTCTTCACAAATATATCCACGCTTTTGATAACAATCAATATCGTTCCATTCAAGACTGGGATAAAACATTTCCACACAGTGTTCTTCTTTATTATTTGGTTCGCCCTTGTGCCATTTGGTATAGTCAAATTCCCGACTATTGGATATCCACTCGAATTGACGGCTAATTTTGTTGTCATGACCTCCGATCCAAAAACGAAGATTTTCATCTTGAAAAAAGAACAATTTGTTATTTATTTTATACAGGAAACGAATTAAACGTACTAGTATGCATCAGATTGGCCAGTTTTTTATGCTTCGAATCGGAATCAACGGCTACCAGGGTCATTTTAAGATACACACAATCACTCAAGGCCTCATACCAAGTGTACTGAAATCATTGAATCATATTAAACTGCGGAATTTTACTTGCAAATAATTTACCCCATTTTCGGTTTCTATGTAAAACTCATCACCATCTTCAGTTTTCACAAATCCCGAACTGGCTGCGGAATACAATTGGGCAGCCAGTGCTAAACACACAAGTGTTGCTCGAATCATTTCAATCCAGTAACTGAAACAATGGCTGGTTTCAACAAGGTTTTGCAAAAACCAAAGCGATAAAAATGTCTCGAAAAGGAAAAGAAAATAACCATTATCGCTAATTCTTCATTGTGGAGAAAAACACAAATAAATAAACTATAAAAATTAATTATTAAAACTCCACACTCGGAAAATAAACGCCTATAAATATGCCTTGGAAAATAATCTTTAAAAAAATCCACGCCTATAAATATGCCTTGGAAAATAATCTTTAAAAAAAATCCACGCCTATAAATATGCCTTGGAAAATAATCTTTAAAAAAATCCACGCCTATAAATATGCCTTGGAAAATAATCTTTAAAAAAATCCACGCCTATAAATATGCCTTGGAAAATAATCTTTAAAAAAATCCACGCCTATAAATATGCTTTGGAAAATAATCTTTAAAAAAATCCACGCCTATAAATATGCCTTGGAAAATAATCTTTAAAAAAATCCACGCCTATAAATATGCCTTGGAAAATAATCTTTAAAAAAATCCACGCCTATAAATATGCCTTGGAAAATAATCTTTAAAAAAATCCACGCCTATAAATATGCCTTGGAAAATAATCTTTAAAAAAATCCACGCCTATAAATATGCCTTGGAAAATAATTTTTAAAAAATCCACGCCTATAAATATGCCTTGGAAAATAATCTTTAAAAAATCCACGCCTATAAATATGCCTTGGAAAATAATCTTTAAAAAATCCACGCCTATAAATATGCCTTGGAAAATAATCTTTAAAAAATCCACGCCTATAAATATGCCTTGGAAAATAATCTTTAAAAAATCCACGCCTATAAATATGCCTTGGAAAATAATCTTTAAAAAATCCACGCCTATAAATATGCCTTGGAAAATAATCTTTAAAAAATCCACGCCTATAAATATGCCTTGGAAAATAATCTTTAAAAAATCCACGCCTATAAATATGCCTTGGAAAATAATCTTTAAAAAATCCACGCCTATAAATATGCCTTGGAAAATAATCTTTAAAAAAATCCACGCCTATAAATATGCCTTGGAAAATAAACTTTAAAAAATCCACGCCTATAAATATGCCTTGGAAAATAATCTTTAAAAAATCCACGCCTACAAATAGGCTTGGGAATTTTTTCTTTAAAAATCTACGCCTATATATATGCCTTGGAAAATAATCTTAAAAAAATCCACGCCTATAAATATGCGTTGGAAAATAATCTTTAAAAAATCCACACCTATAAATATGCCTTGGAAAATAATCTTTAAAAAATCCACACCTATAAATAGGCTTGGAAATTTCTTCTTTAGAAATACACGCAAATAAATAGGCTTGGAAATTTCTTCTTTAAAAATCCACGCCTATAAATAGGCTTGAGAATTTTTTCTTTAAAAATCCACGCCTATAAATAGCCTATAAATAGCTTGAGAATTTTTTCTTTAAAAATCCACGCCTATAAATAGGCTAGGGACTTTTTTTCTTTAGAAATCCACGCCTACAAATAGGCTTGGGAATTTTTTCTTTAGAAAACCAGCCTACACATAGGCTTGGGATTTTTTCTTTAGAAAACCACGCCTATAAATAGCCTTGGAATTATTTTCTGTAAAAATCTACGCCTATAAATAGCCTTGGAATTATTTTCTGTAAAAATCTACGCCTAGAAATAGGCATGGACATTTTTTCTGTAGAAATCCATGCCTATAAATAAGCTTGGGATTTTTTTCTGTTAAAAATCCACGCCTATAAATATGCTGAGAAATTTTTCTTTAATAAATCTACGCCTATAAATAGGCTTGGGAATTTTTTTCTTTAATAAATCTACGCCTATAAATAGGCTTGGAAATTTCTTCTTTAAAAATCCACGCCTATAAATAGGCTTGGGAATTTTTTGTGTAAAAATCCAGGCCTATAAATAGGCTTGGGAATTTTTACTTGAGAAATCCACGCCATAAAATATGCTTAGGAATTTTTTCTTTAAATCGAAGCCCATTGTTCCGCAACCACTTATTTTTTTATGTCGAAATCCATGCTTATTGTTTTCGGATATCACACACTATGTATGTATGTGTGCATGTACCATTTCCTTGGAATGTATGATGTCGTTACGTATATTTTAATTCTCTTTGTGGTGAGTAGTTCCCGGGTTTTTTTTTTTTTTTTTTTTGATAAATAATTTTGTTATAAAAATTTAAAAAATCCCCCTTTTTCGGATTAGCTCTATTTGTTTGGTTGAGCTATAAAAATCGTGCAGATTACCAAAAATCCATCAGTCTGTCCAAAAATGCGAGCCGTAATTATTCTCTGTACTCTAATCACATTAGCTCGCAGTTCTCCCGTGGAGAAGTGGCATCGAAGCAGTGATGGGTGTCTTTATTACGTCGAACATGAAATGAAGGTAAGGTGAGGTGTTTTTTTGAATTTTATTGTATTTTTATTTTTTGTCATTTCTGGATTCCAGTTCAATTGGTACCAAGCCTGGGAGGAATGTCTTAATAAAAATATGACCCTGATTACCCTTGACACATTCTATAAACAACAACAAATTGATGGTTTAATCGAAATGAATTATCGTAAGTAGTGTCCTGCTATTTGTAGAGCTGGGTGATTTGATTCTAAATTTGTTGTTATCCTTTCGAAGGTAAAAAATTAACATTCTGGTTGGCGGCCCATGATAATGCGGTAGATAAACGTCACGTTTGGTCTACAACCGGCAAAGTGTTATCCTTCACCAATTGGGCCAAGGATCATCCGAATTATGCGGCCAATGATCATTGCCTTTTGATTCATGACAGCACTGGTCAGTGGCATGATTTTCCATGTGCTACCAAATTGGGATTTGTATGCGAAATTCGGCAATGTACAAATAATCGAAATTCGGCAGATTTGGAGAATGGTGAATTGTTAAAAGAACTGCAAAAACACAATTTAAATATTGTCAATATATTTGGTAGTCGTAATTGAGTTTGTGAAAAAAATTTAAAAAAAAACTCACGAGAACAGAATAATAATAATAATAATTTTGAAATTTATCTTTTAAGAATATTTTTCGGTGCATATTTTTGGGCTTAGATTTTTTAAGAAAAAAATTTCCAAGCCTATTTATGGGCGTGGATTTTTAACGAATATTTGTTCAAGCCTATTTATAGGCGTGGATTTTTGAAGAATATTTTGTCAAAGCTTATTTATAGGCGTGGATTTTTGAAGAATATTTTGTCAAAGCCTATTTGTAGGCGTGGATTTTTGAAGAATATTTTGTCAAAGCCTATTTGTAGGCGTGGATTTTTGAAGAATATTTTTATTTTTGAAGAATATTTTTTTAAGCCTATTTATAGGCGTGGATTTTTAAAGAATATTTTTTCGAGCCTATTTATGGGCGTGGATTTTTAAAGAATATTTTTTCAAGTCTTTTTATAGGCGTGGATTTTTGAAGAACATTTTCTCAAGCCTATTTATAGGCGGAGATTTTTGAAGATTATTTTTTCAAGCCTATTTATAGGTGTGGATTTTTGAAGAATATTTTTTAAGCCTATTTATAGGCGAGATTTCTTTTCAAGCCTATTTATAGGCGGAAATTTTTGAAGATTATTTTTGAAGCCTATTTATAGGCGGGGATTTTTGAAGATTATTTTTCAGGAGTGGATTTTTTAAGTAAATTTTACGAGTGGATATTTTCCGAGTATATTTAAATATTTAAAAAAAATAGCCGATAATAGCGTATTTATTTTTCTTTGTATTATAAAGAATTGGCGATAGTGTTTTACTTTTGTTTCTTCATTTTCTACACATTTTTATCGCTCTATATTTTGTCGTATTTTTGCAAAACCATTATCCAACCCCGTTTCATTGTTTCAGTTACTGAATTGAAATGATTCGAACAACACTTGTGTTTTTAGCACTGGCTGGCCAATTGTATTCCTCCGCAGCCATTTCGGAATTTGTCAAAACTGAAGATGGCGACGAGTTTTACATAGAAACCGAAAATAAGGTATAATCTCCAAGTAAGGTCCTGCAATGTTATGGGACATGGGACGAGTTTTTTTCTATAAAAAAAATATTTTCAAACTTTTCCTGCTCGCATTGATTTCAGTACAATTGGTATGAGGCCTTGAGTAATTGTGTCCTTCTCAAAATGGCTCTGGTTGCCGTTGATTCCGAAGCGAAGCATACAAAACTGGCCAACCTGCTGAGTGAATGTAAGTCCAAAAACAAAACGACCAATGAATAGCAGTGAAACGAAATTATCCGTTTTTTTCAGATGAGAATCTTCGAATTTGGATCGGTGGTCATGACAACAAAATTAGCCGTCAATTCGAATGGATATCGAGCAGTCTGCCATTTGTATATACCAAATGGCGAGCAGGCGAACCAAGTAAATCTGGAGAACGCTGTGTAGAAATGGTTTATCCCAATTTGGAATGGAATGATTTGCTGTGTGATCAACGTCTTGGATATATTTGTGAAGAGATTCCAGCTATTACCGATATTAAAAGGGAAATGAAACTGTTAACGGATTCATATGAACATCAACTAGGGCAAATCGGAACTAAGGAAAATAACGTAAAGGACCAACATCACGAATGCGATATGCCAACATATATGGCAGACATGTGGAAAGAGCTGGAACGCTGGGGCCTATCTATCAACGACAAATTATCTCAGCTTTTAAAAAATGCCTTAACATCGACCTCATCCTCTGAAAATGATGAACAATTGATATTGGTAGAAGCGACTCCACGGATAAGCATGGATAACTAGATTCGAAATTTGTTTTTTTTTATAAATCTACACCTATAAATAGGCTGAGAAATTTTTCTTTAATACATCTACGACTATAAAAAGGCTGAGAAATTCTTCTTTAATACATCTACGCCTATAAATAGGCTGAGAAATAAATCTACGCCTATAAATAGGCTGAGAAATAAATCTACGCCTATAAATAGGCTGAGAAAGAAATCTACGCCTATAAATAGGCTGAGAAATAAATCTACGCCTATAAATAGGCTGAGAAATAAATCTACGCCTATAAATAGGCTGAGAAATAAATCTACGCCTATAAATAGGCTGAGAAATTTTTCTTTAATAAATCTACGTCTATAAATAGGCTGGGGAATTTTTCTTAAATAAATCTACGCCTATAAATATGCTGGGAAATTTTTCTTAAATAAATCTACGCCTATAAATAGGCTGAGAAATTTTTCTTTAATAAATCTACGCCTATAAATAGGCTGAGAAATTTTTCTTTAATAAATCTACGCCTATAAATAGGCTGAGAAATTTTTCTTTAATAAATCTACGCCTATAAATAGGCTGAGAAATTTTTCTTTAATAAATCTACCCCTATAAATAGGCTGAAAAATGTTTCTTTAATAAATCTACGCCTATAAATAGGCTGAGAAATTTTTCTTTAATACATCTACGACTATAAAAAGGCTGAGAAATAAATCTACGCCTATAAATAGGCTGAGAAATTTTCCTTTAATAAATCTACGCCTATAAATATGTTGGGAATTTTTCCTTTAATAAATCTACGCCTATAAATATGTTGGGAATTTTTCCTTTAATAAATCTACGCCTATAAATAGGCTGAGAAATTTTTCTTTAATAAATCTACCCCTATAAATAGGCTGAAAAATTTTTCTTTAATAAATCTACGCCTATAAATAGGCTGAGCAATTTTTCTTTAATACATCTACGACTATAAAAAGGCTGAGAAATTCTTCTTTAATACATCTACGCCTATAAATAGGCTGAGAAATAAATCTACGCCTATAAATAGGCTGCGAAATAAATCTGCGCCTATAAATAGGCTGAGAAATAAATCTACGCCTATAAATAGGCTGAGAAATAAATCTACGCCTATAAATAGGCTGAGAAATAAATCTACGCCTATAAATAGGTTGAGAAATAAATCTACGCCTATAAATAGGCTGAGAAATAAATCTACGCCTATAAATAGGCTGAGAAATAAATCTACGCCTATAAATAGGCTGAGAAATAAATCTACGCCTATAAATAGGCTGAGAAATAAATCTACGCCTATAAATAGGCTGAGAAATAAATCTACGCCTATAAATAGGCTGAGAAATTTTTCTTTAATAAATCTACGCCTATAAATATGTTGGGAATTTTTCCTTTAATAAATCTACGCCTATAAATATGTTGGGAATTTTTCCTTTAATAAATCTACGCCTATAAATAGGCTGATAAATGTTTCTTTAATAAATCTACGCCTATAAATGGACTGGGAAATTTTTCTTTAATAAATTTACACCTATAAATAGGCTGAGAACTTTTTATTTAATAAATCTACGCCTATAAATAGACAGGGAAATTTTTCTTTAATAAATCTATGCCTATAAATATGCTCGAAAAAATATTCTTTAAGAATCCACGCCTATAAATATGCACAAAAAATATACTTTAAGAATCCACCCATATAAATATGCTTGAAAAAATATTCTTTAAGAATCCACGCCTATAAATATGCTCGAAAAAATATTCTTTAAGAATCCACGCCTATAAATATGCACAAAAAATATACTTTAAGAATTCACCCATATAAATACGCTTGAAAAAATATTATTTAAGAATCCACGCCTATAAATATGCTCCAACAAATATTCTTGCAGTCAAAATTACACGTGCTGTTCCCAATTCTTGGAAAATTTTCACTGTGGCCTTCTGGGACGTTGTTTGATTTTGACCATGTAGAAAAGTTTTGAAAAATATCTGACTGCATCTAATTAACATATTAATTCTCTGTGAACCCCTCATGTGAGGATCAGTCGAATCTAAATGATAATGCATTATTTTTGTTGTTGTTGTTGTTTTGAAGTGCATTGCTGTGGTGCTGCATCGATCTCAATGAAATTTGAAGTTCGGTTGATGGTTGATTCCGGGAAATAATTTTAATGCAAATTAATTATACAAAAAAAAAATAATAAAAAAAATCATTCAGATATTTTCTTAAACAAATAATACTGAAGTTGAAATCTTTTTTTTAAGAAACAAAAATGTATCCGATTCGAAAATGTAGGATCATTTAAGCCACTTAAAATTGTTTTCTCAGCACACAATACCACTCACAAAATTTCCCATGTCTTGCCATTCACGGAAGGTGGTGGCTTTGTGGTTTTCAAACTCCAGACAAGTGGTCACCTTATTTCTGGCTCACAGCTTAGTTGTGGTGATTTTGTGTTATAGAGACTCTATGGATTTTTTTAAAGTGGAACGGAAGTTGCGGATTTTTATTTAAAAACATTTTGTACAAGTCGCTCTGAAGTCTTAGTGTTTATAAAAAAATTATTGGTCAAAAATAGTAATTTTTTTAAAGGAGGAGGATTGTAGAAGTATTGTAATTCTTAAAAGTATTTTTTATGTCAAAAGGTCGTATATTTTTTGGAAATAATATTCAGACAATGTTTTTTCGAAGATTATAAAATTTTTAAAAATATATTTTCGAAGGTCGGTATAATGATGGAGATTTTTAAAATTATTATACCCTACACAACTATGTTGTCATTATACCCTACACAACTATGTTGTGCAGCCTCAAAAGTTTGTAACGCCGCGAAATATTGGTCCTAGACCTACCTTTAAGTATACCGATCATATCATATCTCGACTACCTGAGTCGATCTACACATGTGTCTCCGTCCGTCTGTCTGTCCATTATCATTTGTAAACACGATACAGGCCAAAGTTATGGACCGATCTTCACCAAATTTTTGCATGTAGGATGGGTTCTGGTCAATGAAGACCCCTATTGTTATCGGTAAAGATCGGTTAATATTTAAGGGATGAAATGGATCAAATACTAAATTTTTATCGGGTTTTCTGGTCGCTCCAGAGGCCCCAGTTAGGGTCGGAACTTCGTGAAATTTTACAAGGAGAACGAGATGCGACCAAAGAATAAGCATGCCTGTTTAGATAAAGATCGATCAATATTTATCAGGTCAAATGGACCCTGACTTTTGTGTGAAAAATTACAAAATTTTTATTCTGGGGCGTATATATTTACCCTGAAGGACATAGACCCCCAGAAGTTGATAGTATATCCAAGAAGAGTCGTTGGCCTTTAAATTGATACCAATTATATTGTCGTATATACTCAGATGTGGGAATTACACGTAAATATTTGCAGGTGCTTACGTATTCATATATTATTTAGTAACCCGTTACGACATTAGAGGGCGAAAATATAGCGCGGATCGCTTTGAAATTTTCTAAGAGGATCAAGGACAACTACTATAATTTTGGGTGATGATCAGATAATAATATTTCGATGAAGTGGACCGAAAAAATATTTTTTTGTGTTTTTTTCCTAGTCCGCGCAACCCACGGTGAAGGAAATCTGGACAAGTAATTAGAAGGGCTGTACTGAATATTGGTAATAATAACATTTGTTGAACTCTAGTCGGTCATGGGGGTGCAAATATCGCAAAGTTTTGCGCAAGCTCAGAATGTAGTACCATAGAAAGTTAGATTTTCGTGGAAGTTGTGTAGGGTATCATATGGTCGGCCCCGTCCGACTATACTGCTCCGCTCACTGGTTTTTTATATATCGTTTGAAAGTCATGGATTATTTGAAATATTATTTGTAGGACACTAGGTAGTCGATGATATTTTGGAAATATTTTCAGAGGTTTTTGAAAGTCGTAACACTAAATATTTATCGGAAATCGGAGATTTTTATTTTTGAAGATCGTTGATATAAGAAAAAAATATTTTTTCCATTTCTTTCAGAAGTGGTGGATTTTCTTTAAATATTTAGAAAATACCTATAGTATTGACCTTTTTATACCCTTCACCACATTGTGGTACAGGGTATTTTGTCTTTGTGCAAATGTTTGTAACAGGCAAAAGGAAACGAGATAGACACATGGTTTCTTTTGAGAATATACCTAGAATCACATTTTAAGTCTATTTATGCATGTCCGTCTGTCTATATAAATTGTAAACAAAGTACAGGTCGCATTTTTGCTCATTTATTTGGCCCAAGGACGAACCCTATTAAAATTGGGAAAAATCGGTTCAGATTTAGATATAGCTCACATATATAGTTTCGTCCGATTTTATGTAAATGGTGCACCAATGTCCGTATATATACCTCGATTTTCACGAAATTTGGCATACCGTAATGAATTGAGCCTAGAATGATGTCTACCAAGTTTCATGAAAATCGGTTCAGATTTAGATATAGGTCGCATATTTATTTTCGTCCGATTTTATGTAAATGGTGCACCAAAGTCCCTATATATCCTTCGATTTGTACGAAATTTGGCACAGTGTACTTAATTGAGTCTAGAATGGTGTGTATTAAGTTTCGTGAAAATCGGTTCAGATTTAGAAATAGCTCCCATATACATATATTTTGGTCCAATTTAAAATAAATGGTGCACCAAAGTCCCTATATATCCTTCGATTTGCACGAAATTTGGCATAGGGTACTGAATTAGGTCCAGAATGACGTGTTCCAAGCTTCGAGAAAATCGGGTCAGATTTATATATAGCTCCTATATATATTTTCTTCTGATTTTATAGCAATGAAGCATCAAAGACCCTATATAACCTTCGATTTGCACGAAATTTGGAATAGGGTACTGAATTACGTCTAGAATGATGTGTGCCAAGTTTCGTGAAAATCGATTCATAGTTAGATATAGCTCCCATATATATTTTCGTCCGATTTAAGTAAATGGTACACCAAAGTCCCTATATATCTTTCGATTTGCACGAAGTTTGGCACAGCGTAC